GCAGACCATTTCCGGTCACACATTACTCTCCATAACACAGCACCCCCTAGTTCCGTCACCTCTGCATCCGCCACCGAATATATGTACTGGAAATAAGATTGATGTACATTCTTCACTGCCTTTTTTACCTTTTCCAATGTGTGGGAGTGTTTTCGATGCTGATTGGCTACATCTACTGTGCGAATAATGTATTATTTACTATTTGCACGGTAGACAATGTTTGTATGATATCTAAAAAGGTATTTCGGTTCGATTAGGTATTCCGTAACAAATTAAGTAAGTTTCTCTTAAAATATTTAGGTCTTTTGAGACGATACCGTGTTAAATATTGTTAATTTACGATGTACCGTGCTAATTGGGAATAAGAACTTATTGGCAGGGTTAGATTAGACGTCATTAAACGTCAAATGCTGATTAGCTAGGTCTACCGTGCGAATAAGACTCATAAGAGCTTATTCGCACGGTATACCGTGCGAATAACCACTTTCTTTTTTTTATCAATAAAGTGAAAGTGAAAGTATAGCAGCATACTGTAATTTCCCATCAGCCTCGGATATTGATTTGTCACTGCGCCAAAGAAGGAATTTTGGTCACACCAAAGATACTAGAAATCACACACTGAATTTCAGCGTTTCTGTTTTCTTCTTCCTCCTAAAATAGTGTGAAAGTTACGGTGTTCGGAAGCAAGGTATGTTACTTAAATTGTCATAATTAAAAATTATTTGGATCCAATATTTGTATCAAGTAAAAGGTGGGTGATTATTTCGGCGATTGACCAAAAAAAAAAAAAAAAAACTCGGCCCGCCTAGGCTATGCACTAGGGCACCTAACCTAGGCTACTACTAGGCCTAGGCTAGTACTAGTGTACTACTAACTACTCTACTTCTCTACTACCTAGGCATAATATAGGGCCTATCCCTAGCCCTACTGTATACGCCTTTTCCACGAATCGGTAGACATCTTGAAGTGATGACAAACAGCCCAAGTGAGAGTTAGCCATGGTTTGTTAAAGCCCCATTCCCCGCAAAATTTCAGTTAAAAAAATCTGATTTTCATATTTTATAAAGATTCAGTAGGCCTATAGGCCTAGCCTAGGAGGGCCTAGGCTAGGCCTAATATGAAATTGCTAGGCAATTTTAACTGAATTTAGGCCCTAGGCATTCTTAAACATGATAAAAATGTAATAAGACTGAAATTTGATTTTTTTTTTTGGTATTCGTTGTTGTTCTGTTATCACACATAAAAATGGCTGACATGATATTTTCCGTTGCTAGTATAGAGTACCACAGTCGTGTCATCACAACACCAGGAGGCGTCGTCTGGACGTTCGTTACCGTTCATTACGCCTGAAAGACTTCATAATCTTAATGGTTTAGAATAGGCTTTCTGGAATAGGCATTTTAAAACCTAATAATTTACCATCAAAATGTACTAAAAACACAAAAAGCTTGCATTAAATTAGTTATCGAAAACACAAATTGTCAATTAACATTTACAAAGGAAAATTAAGATACAACTTCTTAATAATTACATTAGAAATTGGGATCAATGCTTTGTCAGTGGAGAAAATGGCGTGCTTGAACGCATTTTGTGTCGCCGATAGCAACGGAGTAGTATCACATGGTATCGTGACGCAACACTGTAGTACTCTATTGACACTTGTGAAATATAATATTTCATAGGAATTATTTCAAATCTGTTTAAAAAATGATTCTGACCAAGATTTTGACAGTTAAACAAACATATCTCACGCCTATTCGATCGACCGCTGTGTGCGAGATGCAAAGTACAAAAACTAATTTTATTAGAGAGAGCGCACTTTATTGACTGTATAAAGTATACATAAAAGCAATAGCATTCCAGCATATGTGATCTACTGTACAGCCTCTGAATTTGCCTAGTGACGAAGAATTCTTCGAGAAAATGGTAATCTCCTATGAGAAATAGTCTGTATTTCTAATTTTTTAAATTCTTTTCCATGAAACTAAAATTTATGTCAATATTTTTCCATCGTTTATAATAATTAAAGTAATGCATATGCATTTTTTCTAAAAAAAAAAATCTCTATTTAGTGAAATTTTTCCGGGAATAGGGCTTTAAGTAGGCCCTTAATACTGCTGGTGGCAGTAGACCATTATAACAAGGAAGTTCAGTGAGGTGGTGGTAGGCAGGAACCTCATAGGTCCTACACTATGTTAGGGCATATTTTCCAAAATTATGTGTTTGTGGGAAGAATTTAAAATGTTTAATATATAACCTAAGAAGTGTTGATTGAATGTTGAATATTATATAAAAAAAACTTTGAATAGCTCATGTAAAACTATGTTTGCAAACTATAGGTCACCTTTTGAGGGTCGTCAGATCGCATCTAGGTCTAAAAAAAGATTTTATAATTGTTGGTACTAAACAAATCAAAGGATCAATGGAAAACATTAAATCTTGTTATAAAATTATTATTTTCAGCGGCGTAGCGAGTTGGTGACGGGCACCAACTTCAAGATAATTGCTGAGCCCTAAAGGCACCTGATCGGACACAGAGCCTTGGTGGAGTCTCTTAATGCATAACATTACATTCTGAAATTGTTTAAAACGGCTATGGCATTTTGAAGAGCATACATATCTATAAAATATTTGATAACATATTCAATTATATTGAGAACAAAATATAGTCAAGTCATATATCTTATCATCTAGGTTGGGAATTTTTAAATTATAATATTGACAGTTTAAAATCCTTGTGGTTCACCACGTAGATAGTTCTGATTAAAGAACTGTTGTTTTGTTGAGAATCAGGGATATCACCACGCTGGTCGGTGGTGGACGGGCCCGTCCAGCACTCAACATTTCCGACCAGGATTTACAGGCTCCCGACCACCACTATTATTTCAACAGTTAACAAATTGTAACAAAATAATTAGTTTACCTAAACACAATAGACAAGCTAAATTGATAGATAAAGACAAGAAGAATACAATAAATGTTTCCGTGGTTACGTTAATTGTAACAAAATACTGCACTGCCCTGCTATTCATCGCTAACTTAACAGCCTAGGCCCAGTTAAGTCATAGCGAACGTCGTGACACGGTTGCTGTACACATTCAAAGTTTAAAGTTGAAATTGTGACCCTTCAAGTGTTTTATTATGAGAGCATGATCCGGGGCAGGAAGATTATTAAAAATTTACGAAACCTGATTTATGTTTTATTTCTCTACTTTAATTGTTTTCATTTTGTATTATAAAACCGGGCAAAACGCAGGATGATCGCCGACCGGCACTCCAAAAAGCTGGTGACATCCCTGGAGAATGTCTTGATGTTTCGATTGATATTCTCCTGATGACGATTGTCATCAGGAGAATATCAATCGAAACATCAAGACATTCTCCAGGGATGTGTCATCAGGAGAATATCAATTGAAACATCAAGACATTCTCCAGGGATGTCACCAGCTTTTTATCGAAACTCAATCGAAACTTCAAAATATTCTCAACAAAACAACTTTTCAGAAACTATCTAGGCCTATGTGGTGTAACGCAAGCATTTATTATATTATTACTTTGACATGCAAACCTCCAAACAATATTTTTTACTTTGTTTTCATTTTGTATTTTAAAACCGGGAAAACGCAGGATGATCGCCGACCGGCACTCCAAAAAGCTGGTGACATCCCTGGAAGAATGTCTTGATGTTTCGATTGATATTCTCCTGATGATGATTGAAGCAACTCAATCGAAACTTCAAAATATTCTCAACAAAACAGCTTTTCAGAAACTATCTAGGCCTATGTGGTGTACCGCAAGCATTTATTATATTATTACTTTGACATGCAAACCTCCAAACAATATAATATTGACAACAATAGAACAATCAATGACATGATTTCAGTGAAGTACAGTAAAAAATATTCATGAAGTATGATGACCTGAAGTGATTCAAAAACATGCACAATATAGTTGAATCAACCTATCAAACAAAAACACACCTTTCTCTGTCCATAAATTGGCTGATTCATTGTTTGTTCCGCATTCACAAATTTCTTTACTTTGACACCTGTCATAATGTAGTTCATGCCCTATTACTCCTGTCTCTTATACACATCTAGATGTGTATAAGAGACAGGATATATACATATAAAATTTTATTAACACTTAAATCTACCATAAATCATCATTATTAATCATTCAAGCACACTTATTTCCTTAATAATTTTTTTCTCTACAATAAACCTTTTTCTAAGTGCCTTGCATCCTTTAGCAAAAGACGCTATATAAATTGCTATATTATTATTATTGTATAAATAGTATCAAGTTTTAAGTAACCATAGTTTCATTCACTTCATTGATATTTTATTATAATGTGGGCCCTGAATACTGTACTTGAAGTTTTATTGAACAGAATGTGAAACTCTAAACATCAATCAATCAACTTACTTCTCTTCCATTTTTTTTCAGTCCAAATCTGTGATCATGACAACAAACATACCAGTGCAAAGTTCTACAGCTCCAGTAGTTCTGTACCAACCATGTGCAGAATACCGTTCGTCAACCTTTAACTCCAAGGCAGCGCTAATAACCGGCTATATGCAGATTGGCCTAGCAGTGGTATCCCTTGCATTTGGTGTGGCTTGTATATTTTCTGGTTATTTTGCTGGGGTTATTGCTGTTCCAATCTGGGGTGCACTTGGGGTAAATATGTTTAAAAACATGAAAGTACAATCATATACTATTAAAACATAATAAGCCAATTCGTATACCTATATCAATTACAGTAATTTATATTTACAGAGATATAGACCAATCAAAAAATGTCACATGACCAAAAAAGATTTTAAATAGAAATAAATAATAATAATGGAACTATTGATCAGTGAATGATTACCTATCCAATGACACCACCAAGCACGGTGGTGTCATTGGATGTTTGATGTGATATGTTAGCCATAAATTCAAAATGGCAGCGCACTAAAATTAATAAAGCAAGCCAATAAAATCCATTTTGGCACAAAAACTTCAGCTAGATTAATACATGTAGCAAACCATACTAAATACTCATCTTTTTGGGCAAAATTTATTAATTCAATGTAAACACAGGTTAAATTAATCACTGCACTCCCATTCATTGTTAAAGGAGAAATAAAGTATGAAATATATTTTAAGGAGTCTACATTGTGTTATTTTATATTAAAAGCTTTATTTTTCTGCAGTTTTACCTTGTGGCTGGAATTCTGGGAGTGGTTGCAGGACAGACTAATGGAAGAAATTCATGTGTTGTAAGTTATAACTACGAATATGAATATGATAACACATTGTAAATACAAATTGACAAATTGAAGTTTAACATTAAAAATACATAATAAAATATCAATATGAAATCTCATATACAATAAAAAAAAAAAACAAAGAAAAAGGGGTAAAGTGGAGAAAAACTAACAAAAAGGGACAGGGACACCTTAAAACAGATTAAAACAGTAAAAGTAAAGTTACTCTGAATAATGACTACCGGTAAATCATTTTCAGAGAAAAGATGTCTTTAAAGTCAGCATTACCAAGTTAAAGGTCTCTAAAATCAGCATAATGGAGAGGGTGGTCAAAAAAATTTAAAAACCTCTAAAAACACAGACCTCCATATTTCTTTTAATATTAAAAACAATTGAATATTTATTTACTTTGAATTGATTCTGGAACCAAATGAATTATTTATGTAGTTTGGTTTTTAGCAATTGAAACCAAATTTAAACATATATTTTATCTTAGATAAATTAGATATTATTTCCTTTGAATTTGATTCTGAGTTTCAGTTTCTAAATGACTCAATAATGTAGTTAAGCAACTGGAACTAAATTTAAATATTTCTTTTAAGTTAAAAATGAATTGAATGTATTTCTCCTTTGAATTTCAATTTTTTATGTATCTCATTATGGATTACAACAATACACTGTATTCAGTGGCGTATCTAGGGGATGCGCAGGGGTGCACGCCCCGCCAAAAATTGTACAAACCACTAAAAGCAGGTCCCAATACTGTATAGCTAAGTTCATCTGATGAGGTTAAAATTTAAAATTTATTTTCTATTAACTTATGCGTTATAATGTGAATAGAATTAGCACAAACAAGTTTGTGTAACATATGAGGGATGTGTTGCATCTTACATAATGTTTTGCATTTTGATAGTAACATGTTAAGTGTCCATACCCCATGTTGCATACCATACTTTTATTTATTTTTGTTTTATATAGTGCACATATCCAGAAAACTGCTGAAGGCCTTTTTTTTCTGGTCATTGTACAGAATCACTATAATGTGTAACCACCTCTGCTCCCTGAGGAGTATTCCTATTTATGCTTGTAATCTGCACTACTAATTTCATTCCAAATTATTCACCTCCTACCTGGTTCACATCAAACTTTTATCTAGATATAGATCCACTTAACTAGTTAAAAGTTTGACGTGAATCAGTCAATTATAGCTAGATAAAGGCTTAAGTCACTTAAAGTTAAGTGACTTAACTTTACTAGAATAATGGTAATTAACTTGCTTAATGGTAAAGTTGGCTCGGATTACAAGGACACGATTATGTAACGTAGGCATCTAAGCTAGCGTTGTTGTATTGTACCACCATTATCCTCCTCTGGCTGGCAACAACATACTCCAACAATGCTAATAACAGCAGCAAAGTAGTCTCATTTATATTCTGATTTTCAGAAATTATTTGTAATATTATGGGTAAAAACCCAGCAAACGTCAGTTTTACGTATAGTCAATATTACCAATGACCTTTCCCCTTTGCATCATAGACCAAGTAAAAACATTAAAAAGTCCGATTGCGAACGTTTTTTAAAGTGATAATGTATATTTTTCTTTAATAATATAATCAGATTTGCTGTATTGATTTATTGACAATTCAATCTTTCCATTTTTGCTATAATAGATGCTATTAATTCAGTTTCAACGAACTACCACCAACGCCAGTCGTTAAAATGAACGCACATGTTTAGGATGACGAAATAAAAAAGTGTGTTTGAAGTCAGCAACTTTATTTTACACCGCGAAGCTAGATTTTCAACAGCAAAGAAAAAAAAAAAAAAAACACGGCAGAAAGGTCCATAAAGTATACAGACGTTTTAATGAGAAATAAAACAATATTTTGTTAAATAGGAGAATGCTAGCGAAAATAATGGTTTTAATCGAAGGTAAATTTAGCTAGGGCCAGTAGTCTACTACTATTGCTGCACTGTCGGTTGGTTCGTACTACCTGGTCACCTATATATCAATGGCAGAGGATAGCTAGGCTAGGTAGTGGAAACTGACACCTGATGTACAGTAGTTTGTCAATTTTTTTTACGAATACCCCTTGGTACTTAGAGGTTCGTAAAATACAGTAGACGTTAAAACAAGCCTTTCCACGCTTGTGACGTCGACGGCCTCGAAGCTGGCTGGCTGTTTATCTGGCTCTAACTTGGCATCGAACGCAACTAGGGATAAATCGTATCATATTTCAAGATTTAGTTAAGTGGCTTAACTTCGACGTGAACCAGGCTAAGGTGTCTTGCCCAAGGACGCAAGCAGTGTGAAGAGCATCAGTCTCGAACCCCCGACATTTGCTTGAAAGCCCATCCCCCTATACACTGTGCCACATGCTTCTAGTTTAGTTAGGTTTCTTTGTGTTTTTGAGTGGATAATGTACAAATGATTAATGGACAAAATAAATATTTTATATTGTATTGTATTGTAATAATTACTTGATAATTTTGTGTTTCAGATTGTGGGTTGTTTGGTGATGTCAATAATTGCAGCTGTAACTGCTGGTGTCCATATTATTATTGGCAGTATTTCAACAGCTGTTGGTCGTTATGACTACTATGATTATTATCATTATGTAAGTTGAAAGTGCTTGTACCTACTTTTTTGTGGTGATATTATTAGTAGTATTTCAACTGCTTATGATAGTTATTATTATTATGCAAGTTCCAAGTAAATTTTTCTACACCTTTTTTGAAATGTAACATGTTTATAATATTAAGGGAAAGAGGTAAATACATGCTGGGAAAGAAAAACAAAAAAAGAAATAATAGAGGGAAGATAATGGAGTGAATACAAGGTAGGAAAGAAGAGTATGGAGAGACAATAGAAAGAAGATGATAAAGCAGGATGGGGAAATAATAAAGGGAAAATGATTGAGGGAATAAGAGGAAGGAAAGCAAGTAGAGAGACGAACAGAGAGTAAGAAAAGAATGGTGGTTATGAGAACCACCATTGTGAGAAAATGAGGGAAGAAAAAAAATAGAAGGAAGAAAGGAGAGATGATGTTTGTATAAAGAAAGAATAGAAGAGAATTAAAGGAACAAATGATTGGGATGAAAAGAATAAAGTCCACCTAAAGCTCTGTCCCCACTATTAAATTTTCTTTGACAAAAAAACTGTTGTATGCCCATATATAGTCATGATGTGCCTATATATGGTCATGATGTGCCTATATATGGTCATGATGTGCCTATATATGGTCATGATGTGCCCATATATGGCCATGATGTGCCCATATATGGTCATGATGTGCCATATATAGTCATAATGTGCCCATATATGGTCATGATGTGCCCATATATAGTAATGATGTGCCTATGTTGTCATAATGTGATGTCATCATGACCATATAGAGGCATGTCGCATTTTCATATAATTTGATAGTCTAGATGTACTGCTCGCTCTCCATTCTAACCCAACTTTTTAGTAGTAATGGTAGGGTATAAAATTATTGTTTGTAAGGTGTAAAATTTGTGTTTATTATTAGGATGGAGGATGGTATGCTGTCAACATTCTGTGTGTACTTGTTGGAGTGGTTCAGTTTGTGACAGCCATTGTTTCATCAGTGTTCATGTGTTGTGGGCCAAATTGTTGCTGTGCAGGTCAAACATCAAATGTAAGTCATACATTTTCTTTGAATTTTGTATTATTTTGTATTACGTTGTAATTTATTATCATTGATTTCTTAAATGACAAAATTAAGTTCATTTCAATTGAATTTAAAATTGGAACTTTTTAGTTTTAGTTGAGTTGCTCTCTAATTTCAACCTGAATGATAAACAAAGTATAATGTGATATCGAATATAATTATATATTTAATTAACATTTGTATATCTTACCATATAGGGTCATCCTCAGCATGCATCCTATGTTGTTCAACCTGGTATGTTTATGTTTTTATTATTATTTGTCTCACTACTTAAAATCTATTCAGACTATTAAATTGAATGTAGTAGTCTGTATAGGGTCATGATGATGCTGTTGCTACATCCATATAATTGGAAAATCACATGTATTGTTAAGAGCTGTAGTTTTGCCTTATACCCAATTCGCATGTACAACATTTTGCCAAGTACAAGTTGAGACAAGTCGTCACACTGATTGCTGAATAATGTATTAAAAGTGTATTCATTTCATCTTTGATATCTTGTAATCTTTACCCTCCTCAGGTTGCTAAATTTACAGAGATGTTTACAAGATACATTGTATATAGTCAAATTTTCATACACCATTCACACTGTAATGATCCAAAATTTAATAAAATGAAGCATGTGTTGTGGCAAAATGGTTAAGCGGTACAAAGGCCGGTATTGAATAAATGAGCTAGTATAAAATATGGGAGCTCAAATCCAATTTTTTTTCACTATAGATCAACAGTTTAATGTCTTGTTAATCATGTCCCAAAGTATTATTCTGGAAATGGTCAGCAAATCATTTATTTAACAATAATTTGATAGTTATGCACTGTATGCACAAATAACTTTAGAAGGCAGTTACTCAAAATCATGTTTATCTTGACTCATTGCTGTACTTTCACATTCCAATAACTTAGGCTTGAAATGTCCAATTTCAATGAATGACACCTCATTTTAAAGATCACATTTTCATGTATCTGAAAATACCTATAACTTGAATTTCAATATTTGCTACAACTTAGCCATTTTGCCACAACATGCCTCAAATATGTAATCTAACCTTATACATGGATATTATATTTATAAGTGTGGAAAGTCTTAGTAGCAATATTGTGAGTAGAATTGTTACGACTAACATGTTAAGTCTACATTTTGTTTGTGAATTTGGTGTCTGTTTAGAAATTGTCTTGACAAATATATCGAGTAATTTTAGAGGACAGCAACTATGCAAAAAATAAAAACAATTATCAAGATCAGGGCTGTAAAAAGTTACTTTTTTCTGCTAGACCCACGTCTAGTTGGTCTAATGCATTTTTATATACAGTCACAAGTTTACACATCACTACAAAAATACAAAATGCTGTGATATTTTGATTCAAATAAGCAGGACGGCTAATAAATAGAAAATATAGTATACATTTAGATACCAAACAACGTACATTCTTATTGTTGTTCTAGGCCTAGCCTGTGTTTTATGGTAGTGATCATGTTCTTTCATAAGCACACTTATGAGCTGGTCTGACTTCCTGGATTTTCAGCTAATCCTGCCTAAAACAAGTTCAGTCTTTGGACCACTGACTTTTTACAGCTCTGTATATTTATTAACAAATGGATGATTTTATTCCCATCCCAAGCAGTTTTATATTAACATTAAGGCTGTATCATTTACCCATTTACAGTTAGTCACTAGCAGCCTGTGTACCAGTTTTTGATCTAATAAAAGTCTTTTTAATACCCATCACAGGTCAGGTCATTACCCAAGGTCAGGTTGCCATCCAAGGATATCCCATGATGCAGCAGCAGTTTGTCGGTCAGCCTGTTGCCATGGGGCAACCCCAGGTCATGGGTCAACCTCAGGTGGTAGGTCAACCACAGTTTGTGGGTCAACCACAGTTCACAGGTCAACCACAGTTCACAGGTCAACCACAGCAAAATGTCCAGTACATGGGCCAAGCTCAAGGACAGCTGCCTGCCTACACAGAACATGAGACAAAATAAGTTCCTCAAATCACACTGTAAGCTTTAGTTTTGAAAACTATTGGTATAAATATATTCAGATTAGACCAAAAATATAATATTAGAGTGACAATTGGAGATGAAATTGGCTTGAGTCTAAGGAAACAACTATCATTCATTCCATAGGTTTTAGGTAGGTAGTAAAACAGTAACCAATAGTCAGAAATCCATTAAAGTTTCAAATTGATTAATGATAATAAGTGCTTGCAATAATATAAAAGTATTTTGGTCTGTTTTTTTCTAATTTAAAAAAAAAAAAAATCTTGCCTTGTATGTTTGCTGCTAATAATGTGCATAATTGGATAAATGCACAAAAATAGTTTACAAAATATAAGAATCCATACTTATATACAATAAGACTATAGCTTAGCTTGCAAAGCATGAAGCCAAATACTGTATATACAAAAAATGCTTTCTTGCCAAGCCTGACCAACTTAAAATCTAGGGCAACTCAACATTTAGTATTTTTTCATATCTTTTAATATATATATATATATATATATATATATATATATTTTTTTTTTAATACCGTACAGTATATCATCATTATGTGAAAGAACATCAGATGTGTTGAATGAGCAATTAAATACTGCATTTTATAGAAAATGCTATTTTAGTTGCCGTTGGTGTGAATTTAAAATCTCTGTTTCTTAACCCCAGACTGCGTTCTAAAAATGAACCTCCATTTTTCAAAATTTGGACCGCAAGATATCAGAAATTTTTAAAAATATAAATGTTCAAAAATGTTATGTGAATTTTCTAATTTCCTACAAATCAATAAAACTTCAGGTCAAAATTGGCCAAGACATTTTATTTGCAGAAGTTCCCCAACTGATGACGATCCAATAATGATAGCGTGCCGACTTGATCATGAAGTTCAGGCTGATGGGAATTTTTTGACGTAGGGAATTATAATGATGTCTTGTATGGATGCACATTATACATTTACATGTTTTATATCTTTAAATTCTTGTTACACAAAAAATGTAACGTAAAGAAACTCACAATTGATGACTTAATTTTAGACAAAATGGAAAGCATTTTATAATGTATGAGATGCCATTTTGGGGAATTTTGGAGGGGCCATATCCTCAGAACTTTGAATCATTGTGAGGGGCTGAGGTGGTTGTTGACCATCTCAAGCTACTAGTATCCTCAACAAAGGCTCATGTGATGCAGCAGCATTATGATTGATTCAAAAATAGACCCCAGTCTAAAAAAGTTGAGAACCAGGGGTATAGATCTTTTAACCAGTCTTTGTAAACAACATCACTCCCCACCCCACACTATTAGCTACTTATAGAGGGCGCTAGAGCGCACAGGTTGACTGCATCTGCCAAGTTAACTGGTAAAGTATTTCAATACAAATCTGATAAAGTATAAATGTACAGTTTTATAAACAATCCCCTATATTATATATAGATATATTTTACAAGAATATTTATGTTTTTTATTTGTAGAAAATAGATTTTATAATTTCATGAATGATTAAATCAGACCATTGCACCAATGTAATATTAATAAATATATTTGTCTAATGCCTTGTAATTCCCAGATGATCTAGGCACTATATAAAGGAAACATCTCATCAATATCTCGGGATCATTTTTACTACCAGATCATAAGTGACTGCTTTCTAAAGACTTGTTTTCTGAGCGATCATTCCTTAATAAAAAAAAATGTGTTAATGCTCCGACTTGAACATATTCGCTTTATGCCTCCCAGCCTGCATGTGGGCATATGCTTTTGTAAAATAAGGTATTAACCCTCTGCCTTAAACAATAGTCGCTATTGTGCTTGCAAAATGTTATGACAAATCTTGTTAATTTAATTAACACTAAAAAATGTGAAGGACTGCATGAAACATGTTATTCAATAAATAGATTTATGTTCCTCAACTTGTCACTGTCACTGATTTTGTCTTTTGATTTTGACTCCATGCTACATTATGCAATGTAAAAATATTTTTATTTTTTATTTTATTTTATTTTATTTCAAAAATCATCCAACAGCGGAAGCCAATTACAGGATGTCTTATAATACATATAAATATATAGAAAAATACAAACAAGTGAAAGATAAATTGATAAATAACATTACAGTATAAAATGGAAAAGAGAAATTTACAAATATATTGCGAGAAATATTATCACACAACTGATGAAGAACATTTTTTAATTTGCTTATACCTGATACCTTTATAATATTGTTTGTTCCCATATTTTTTTAGCACTGTTCATTTACCTTTATTTATACAATGCAGTTGCCTTGGTAAACAATCAGTCAGTCAATCATTCCAATTTTACTGTATGATGCCATTCCAACAGTTGTTGCTTGTGGTGCTTTTCCAAAAAGAGATTGTTAATTTAAAAAAAGGTACGTCTTGACTGTAACAGTAGTGACTTAAAACTGTAGTTTGGATGTTTAATATAGGGTCTGTAACTACAATACTCTGTTCTGGTAAATGACGCACAACACACACTCAAGAAAGAGAGATGAAGACCAAGGATTCAACAGGAGTAGATGAAAGCGTTCATGGAAATGACTTAATATTAGTTAAGTAATGTGATGTTTACGTGCTAGTATAAGTTGATGGTTAAAATTAGAGCTATGTGCCCGCCAACTCTGATAATACCATTGACACCGAAGATCTATTATTCATTGCATTATTCCTCTTGCTGTTTCTGATTTTTTTTTCTTTTATCATTTTATAT